TTACACAGACTGCACCACTGCAAGTCTAATACCAAGGAGGAATGCCTCTAATTACGGTCCAAGGTATTAACTCTCCCATAAAATACCTGCCATACAAGAATTTTACCTTCTCTGAGATCTTAACCTTCCAAAGAGAGAAGAGAGAAGGGTCAAGGGCACTAGGGGACAAAGGGGCGCGTAAAATCTGAAAGACCCCTCTGGGAAGGGTTGGGCCCCAGAGACAAACATCACTCCTTGAACCCATCCAAACATTACCCAAAAGAGGAAGAAGGGTAGACACTTACACCGTCTCCCTGTCCAATAAGAGACTACATAAGCCTAACAAAAGAGAAAATTAGATCCCAAGGAAGACATAATAAAGGCCACCAATTGTAAATTAGATCCCAAGGAAGACAAAATAAAGGCCACCAAATGCAACCTCTTATCAGAAAGATATAAACAAAGGAACAAAGCACAAAGAGGTTTGTCTCCCACCAAAAAATCCTCCTCAAAATAAATCCTTGTGCCTTCCCAGTTCCCCAAGAGAGCATTTTACAAATTGTGACAACAACAGGAAACCTAAAGAAATAAAATGAAATAAAATTCCAGGGTTTCTTTAAAATCCCTTTAGACCCATAAGTTGAGACCCACTAAAAAGGGTGCATACCGTATCTACTCACAATAATCCTATGCTATAAAATGCCTTGTTCTTACCGAAATGCCACAGTCATTTGGCCAACAAGGCCTTCTTACGTAGTCGTAGGTTACCAATGCCTAGACTTCTTAGGAGTTCGAGGACGCAAAACGATCTCCCACCTAATCAAATGGGAGCCACCCCCTTCATCAACTCTTTCGCATAAAAAGTCCCTCATGATTTTCTCAAGCCTTTCACTCATTGAAAAAGGGACTCAAAACTGGGATAGGGAGTATGTCAAGATCTCACTTAGGATGAACTAGATGAGAGTTAATCTTCCCCCTTAAGAAAAATAAGGCCTTTTTCTAGGAATACAAACACTTTTGAACCATTTAGACAAGGTTCCAAAATGACAACTCTGCAAATTGCTTCCCAAGGGGAGCGCAAGGTGAGAGGAAGGCTACTCAATTCACAACTCACCAACGAAGCCTAAGCATCCAATTTCAATGAGTCACAATTAATCCCCAAGGTCGAACTTTTTCCTCTATTAATTTTGAGGCTCGAAATATACTCAAAGAAGGACAAAAGACCATTAATATTAACGAAGTACCTTTCCTGTCTGGAGCAAAAGAAGAATATAATCCGCAAGCTAGAGATGATAAAGATGTGTACTATCCCTTTCCATCTCAAATCCCGCAATAGCACCCTTCTCCACTGAGGATGTCAACCGCTAAATTAGAGAGGAAAGGGAATAGGGGATCACCTTACCTAAGACGTCTAAAACAAAAATTTTACCTCTAGATCTACCATTAACTAGGATAGAATAATTGACTGTTACCATACAACTCAACATCCAAGCCCTCAGTTTGAACCCAAACCTTGTCTTCCAAAACACCTTATCCAAAAAGTCTTAGTCAACACAATCGTAAGCTTTTTCAAAATCTATCTTTAAGATCACTCATTCCTGATTCCTCTCTAAATAACCACGATCACCTTATCGGCCACTCGCTGGTCTAAACTTTTCCTTCCCTCAATCAATGCTCCTTGTGAATGAGGGATCATGCAAGGTAGAACTTTCCTCAATCTGTTCACCAACATTTTAGCAATGATATTATAAAGACTCATCACTAGACCAAAAGGTTAATAGCATAAGTACTTTTTGGATTAGAATAAAAGGTTAATAGTATAATTATAATAACTTGGATACACATTTGAGTGGGAAATGCACCCAGACTCCCAGTCCATCTCCAAATTAAATTTAAAAGAAAAAAACTTGTGCCAGCCACCATCCCCATCTGAAACAAAAGGATTCGAGTAAGAATTTTGTCATCTCCACATGTAAATGATGTGAATGGAAAAATAACAAATGAATCTTTCAACTGCCACCCCAAAAAGTTCTATATTTTACCAAGTTGCTATGAAGTTTCATGAAGAGGTTCTCCACTTTACTCAGACCTCCATAAACTTTCTTCAATGTTCTATACATGCTTATGGTCTAATACAATATTTTTCTGCTTCCAGCTTTTTCCCCTGTTCTCTTCTAAAACAGTCTCTACTTCCTAGTTCCTATTCACTAATAATTACGTTTTTCTGCTTCCAACTTTTTCCCCTGTTCTCTTCTAAATCAGTCTCTATTCCTAGTTCCTATTCACTAATAATTACACGTTAGCTTTCTAGCTCTAATAATTTCGAGCTACAAAGATTCATTTAGAGGTTCTCAACTTTCTCAGATCTCCAGAAACTTCCTTAAATGATCTATTGCCGACATTCTTTTGTCTTGATTCAATCTTGTTCTTCTTCCAGATATCCTCCTTGTTCTCCTCTCAATCAGGCCCTACTTCCTCCTCTTGATACTTCCCTGTCAAATTTAAAACTCCAAGATAGTAGATATATTCCTCTTGAGATCATTTCAAGTAAAGAGGCAGGGACATGAGCCACACACAACACAAAACAGACACAATGAACATTATTTTCTAAAAATCTAGACAGGAACCTAGCAAGGACATGTTAGTTAAAATATATATCATTTTTTTACCTTAAAGAATTTCAATACATTGAAAAAAAAAGGTTTTGGTATATCTTACTCTCAAAATTTAATATTTTATCCTATATTACTATAAAGGAGTGCAAGTAAAAACTGATGAAGCCAATTAAACCGACCGAGGTACGATTTTCGGCTTTGGTTCAGGTGATCATGTAAACCAAATTAATCAGTTGGCATCGGTTCGACTTACTCAAATCGAATAAAAAAACGACCCGAACCATTTAAGAAGACTACTTTACTAATTAACCACCCAGCACTCAGTAAGGCAACCCAGCCCAAAGCCCACCACAATTCTCCTTTCATTTAAAATTAAATCCAAGCCCACAGCCCATTTGATAGCCTATTTGTTTCCCCTCCCCCTACCTAGCTTTAAAAATAAAAATAAAGTTTCAACTCTCTCATCTCTCCCAGGCTGTCTCTAAGTCTCTCCAAACTCTCTCTACCTCTCCCCACTTCTCTACCGCTCTCTGATCTGGTGAGAGGACATCACAGGCTCGTCAAATGGCCGCTTGGAGGAGATACTGCCGCTCATTATAATCGTCACGAGGAATCACTGACGCTTGAGTTCAGCTTCATTATAATCGTCATGAGGAATCACTGACGCTTGGGTCCAGCTTCACATGGGTTCGCTGGACTAGAGGAGGGTCTTGCACCATCACTAGGTGATGCCGCCAACCTGCTATCTGTCGCACTGCCGTCAAGAGTTCAATCACCATGTTTGTCACCAGCAAGAGTGTGATGCTACCATGTACCTTTTCCAGATTTGTGCTGTCGAGAAGGGGGGGTCTTCGAAAAGGTCGTGAATAGGCTGAGGTGACTGAACGAGAGGGAGAAAAAGGGAAGGAATAAGGCTAGGGCTTTTCTCTTTTTTTCACCCTTTTTATACTTCAAAAACGCAATCGAAAAAACTACCAGATCCAACCAACAAACCATCGGTTTATCAGTTTGGTTCGATTTTAGGCTTCCTAGCGGGGTTCAATTCGATTTTGTATAAAATCTTCTTTTGTTATTAGTTTAACTCGGTTTTGCTAAACTGAAGCGATTATACTCCTATTACTATTTAAATCTATTTATTATGTGCAATAAGTATTCGATAGATGCCTTAACATCTATAGGACTCATGTTCAATTTGTTCAACTCGTGTCTAACTCCAACATATATCTTACACGTGCCCAATAATGTTAGAGCCTTGGAGTGGTCCAACACATGGCACACACGAACATGAAGATGTTATCCAACCTAAAGCATTCGTGTTTCATAGACTTCAAGTATTGAATGACAGAAAATGAAGGAAATATGCTTCAGGGAGAGATAGTTGTGAATTAATCATCATCATGTAAGAAAGGGCCAGACCTTTTATGGTTTATTCCCTTAAAATTAACCATCAACCCTGATCTATGTGAGTCTTCCACTCAGTTTCAAAAATGAACAATTTAGTTGATTTACCATTTACAACTCACGAGAATTTCAAAGGCATGCTTATAGTTCAAAAAATATGTTAGAAATATGTACATAGCCACTGTCAACCTTCATTTTTATAGAAGTAACTGAAAACTTTCATTTGCCTGAAGTCACTCACAACCTTCACTCAAAAGGTTAAAAATAAAAGAACACTATGAAAAGTAACAGGAAGAAGAAGGAAAAAGAGCACAGAATCACACTAAACTACCTGCGGAAGGCAGCCTCAGTTACGGATTGTGAGATCCTTGCTACAAAGATCCTGGTAACTCTCTTTGGAGGTGCTCTCATCTCCTCCTGTCCACAGAAAATATGAAGTCCATGTCCAATCCAGTTGCATGCATACACATGAAAATACAGTACTCGCACTTTTTACAGTTTCTTGATTCAAAAAGAGGATAAAACAAAAAACATTCTGGAGAATAAAAATGTGTGAGAGTGCAAATAAGAAAAGGAAAGAGAGAGAGCAGGAAAAAAATACTAACCTTTGGTGTGGCAACTTTTACTTCCATCATTCTGTTGCCAAGAAAGTGCTCACTAGATAGTGCATTCTGTAACAAAGAGATATTAGACATCATAAAACATCAAGTCAACCAAAAGAAAATGTTGACCATACACCTACCTTAGCATCTTCATCTGTTGCAAATGTCACATATCCAAAACCACGGGATCGGCCAGTTGATCGCTCCTGGCATATAAGAAAAAAGAATTCGTATAACAGATAACTATATAAATTAATGGATTTGAAAATAAAAAGACATTACGATACAAAATTAGTCCCGACAAGCATTCACTACCTTCATCAGTACAATCCACAAGGAAAGCAGAGCAATTACTTTTTGATAAAAAACCAACTTTCATCAAGTAAAATGAAAGAATACAAAAAAGAGCATCTGGAAAGAGAACAAGACCTAACAAATAATTACAAAATTTATTTCCATAAAAACCAATAAAAACCCATGAACCAATGCCCATGGGTTGGTCTAGTGGCCAATAAGGGCCAATGAAAATAGTAAAGAGCCAGAAGGCATGGATCTACTAACCCAAACAAAACAGGCCCAGACACTCACGGATTAAAAAAAGAATAAAAATAAATAAACCAACGCCCAAATGGATACATTAAATCTGGCATGATACCTCTCAACCCCATTAAAAATTCTCCAATCTCTCGACCAAATCCCCTACAATACGCCAAGAAAACAGGATGCCAACGGACACATTTTTATTTCACTATTTTTGGTGAAATTCATGTACGATGGCACCAAGTGCATCATGAGGATAAGGATACTTGTGAAAAGATGAGTGTCTCACCAACATTTAGCTTATAAATTACGATTGGCTCCCCAAGGAACGTGTTTGTATATCTCTTTGAAATACTTTGTAAATCTATTTCATAAATAAGATTTTTTATCAATAAATAAATAAATAAAAATAAGAGTCACAGCAAACAGTATTAGAACTTATTTCAAATTAGTGTTTTCTCATAATTATATATGCTTCCAAAATAGATATTAGTCATTCTACGCTCATGATTAGAACTTTCTGTAATACACTTAACATGTATATTTTTCTTTGGAACAATAAACCAATCCCATCAAGAAGAATGAAAGATCACAAAAGGTCATACAAGATACAACATACAAGCCCAAACACACAAAGAAGCCACCAAAAAATTACAAGAAAGAGATCCAACAACTATTTAGAATAAGAGAACAAATAACACAAAATTCAACCTAACAGCCCAAAAGGATGCATAAAAGGAGATCATACTCCAAACAACCTGCCAAGATCCCTCAACAGCCTTAAAAACACTGTTATTCCTTTCTAACCAACCATTTCACCATCAAGAATCCTGCTTTCCAAAAAAGTTCCCTTTGTTTTGAAAAAGGAGAGTGAAGAATGAATATAGCCAGTGTTTGCGAGGCACTCGCCATGGTTCACATCTCAACCTCAACCATGGTGTACACCTTCAATGATGCATGTGTTGTGCCATAGTTGCCTTTTCATCACCATTTCAATATTAACAAAACACCATGATGAAGAAGGCAATCAAGAACGAAAACCCAAAGGTCTCCTTAGTTAATTCCTCTTCCCCTTTCTTTGGGAAACACTAAAAGGTTAAAATCCACAAGAAGATAAGATTTTTCTCTTGTTGGCATCCTTTAGGTAGATTAAGTTATTGGATTTCATCTGGAGATCATCCTCTACTATAGGACACCAATGGTGCAGTTTAAGTAGGCCATAGGCGAGCATCAAAAGGTTTCGATCATATTTTTTGGTGTTATCTTCTTACTAGGAGTATCTGGGGAAGCTTAGTACAGATATTTGGTCTTGGCTTGGGTCTGAACAAGAGATGGACGTCAACTTTAGCTTTCAAAATGAGAATATTTAATTTAATTGAAATTTTGTGTTATTAATAAAATTAATTAATAATTCTTCCAATTAACTTTTACAAATCACATTCCCAACACGCAACAACTAAACATGTTTCACTTACTAGTGTGCGAAGCTCATTTTTGTGCACAAGACACAGCTCGTACATTCCTAAAAATCTAAGCACCACTAAATCACATGAAGATTACCATAAGAAAGAGTGAATAGTGCGAATTTTCCACAAGAAGAATGGAAAAAAAACAACAAAAACAAACCTTCATGACAATACAATCCTCCAATTCCCCAAATTTGCTCATGTAGTCCTTCAGCCCTTCTGTATCGATGTCCCATGGAATACCAAGAACCTGAATTTTAAGAAATAAATAAATAACCCAGTTACTAAATAGAAGAAACAAGTGAAAAATCACACAGACGTAGCTGAATGAGGAGAAAGAAAACACTAACCACTAGCTTTCGATCCATGATCAATTGGGCGCAGGTAATGCAGAGAAATTGGAACCCTAAAAAGTGAAAAAGTATATATCTCTCTCCTCCTCCTCTTCTTCCTCGCTCGCTCGCTCGCTCGCTCTAAGACCCTCGCTCACTCTCACCAAAAATCTCTCGCACTCGCTCCTCCCTGCACATGATAACAAGAAGAAGCACACCTCTTTCTCACACACAATAGTCAAATACCAAATCAATCTCACCGATTTCATCATTCGTTTTTTTTTTCCCTGTTTCAAAAAACAAAATCAAATCAAACAGCAATAAGATATTCGTGGATAACGCGCTCAACTGACCTTTTGAACAAATTTTCTGGGATTTCACGAAAACCCTAACGCAGATCTCTTCTCTCTCTCTCGCTCTCTCTCTCTCTCCTCCCTCTCTCCCTCTCTCCCTCTCCTCTCGCCCGCCGCAAAGCGCTTTTAAAGACGTTGGGTTCCGGCCATGGTTTTGACTGCGGCAGCGGAGCGAGAAATTCTCCAGTGTGCTAAGCTGCTACAGAAACAATGGTGGTGCTGCGTTAGATCTCAGCCACGTGTCGGCATCTGATTAGTGAAGATTTTAAATCGGTGGCTCGATTAGATACTCTTTGTTTGTTACGTCACCGCCATTTTTTTTCCTTTTTCTGCAAAGGAAAATAATTAAAAATAAAAATAAAAAACGTTAAAATACTATTTTCCTTATCATACTTTTTTTAGTTTATCTTTGTCTACTTTCAAAATGTTATTTTAATTAGCTAAACTGGGCATAGTTCAGTGAGTATATACCTCCAATCAGAAAATTGTGAGTTCTAGGATCGACTTAAAGTATAGGCGAGTGAGACGATCACGTAAGGCCCAATCCCATAAGACCCGCATTTTTCATATATTAGTTTTTACTTGTAAATGTACTTTGAAATATAAAATAATATATTATCTACGAATTTTGTTTCTATAATATTGAAAATACAAACTAATAATAAATATAATTCTCTTGAAAAAGATGTTTAATTAAGTATAAAACTCATAATCAATCTATCATATAAATTTCTTTAGATTTTAATTTTTAACTTTTTGGGAAGGAAATGAGACTGAAGACCATCAAACTAAGAAAAAATGATAAGACGAAAAAAATGACCAGATGGGGCATGGAGACCCCATTACATACGCAATCAATAGGGAAAAAGAGATTATTATGAGGCTCTTCTCAGATATGTAAACTAAGGAAATAAACATTGTTTGACTAGCAAGCCAATCTACACAAATCGACTTCACGATAAATTTTTCGGATACTAATACTCCATCCTCGAAAAATGAGGTTCTCAATATTTAAATCATAGACAAAAAAACTCTCGAATTCTAATTTGATACCTTCAAAATTTGTCATTTTATCTTTTTCTTCGTGTATAAAACCTTTCAAAGTTCATTAAAAAAGAAAACATTTACTTCCTTCAAAAATCTCTCAAATTTTACCATTTGTATTCTTTCTCCTTCTATTTATTTTTTTCACCATTAAAATTTTTCAAATTCTCTGAAGAAAAAGACTACCATAAATATATTAGATAAGTTATACTAATTTTAACTTAATTCTGTTCCATTTCTTTTACTTTTTTGAAAATGTATTTCATATTGTTCAATATGAAGATTTGTTTAAGTTTGCTTGCTTGTTTCAATATAGAATATTAATGTCTATAAAAAAAATATAAATATGAATATGAAAAGCTTAAGAAAACATAAAATATGAAAACTTATTGAATCTAAAAAAATGTGTTGTATATGAAAAAATATTATTAATAAATTTTTTTAGTAGAAGTAAAAGTAATAAAAATAATAAAATTATAGAAGAAATAATTGGTATAAATAAATCAAAATATAAACAGAAACGATATTTTTTAAAATGAAGCATCTAATCAGCTAAAGTTCAACTAAAAAAATAGTCATATTAAGTCCTTCGTTTCTAAATTTTCCCTAAGTCCACATATCATCTCGAGATGTCTCTGGTGAGTTTAACTCCCCTTCCCGACATGTACTAAAAAAAATGTTATTTTGATGATAAAAATGATCATTTTGTTCCCTTTATTATATTTTTAATCATTTTTTTTGTCATCTATATCGTTTTTTTATATCCATGAATGTCCGAGTCAACTTGCGTGCACCTCAATTAATCTCACAAGACAATCTGACCTCACTACATTTGGTTGTCTAGGTAACTCATAAGATATTAAATCCTAGGTAGGTGGCCATCATAGTTTTTTAACTCATTCGCTCTAAACCTTTTATTATTTACATTGGCCCTTATTGACAAGTAACCCACACCATGATAGTTTATGTCATCAACCTCGTACTACACTCAAAATAACAACTATAACTTCCGTTGTGTGCATAATTTATGTTAAAATTTTGTAAATCGGGACCAAAACAATCTTTTTTAAAAAATACAGAAACCAAAACAAATATTTAAAAGTACAAGAACTCAAATGAACTAAATTTGAAAGTACATAAATTAAAATGAATGAACCAACGCTTAAAGTACGAAATCAAAAGAACATTTTTAACCTATTTAAAATTATATTTCCACCCGTGGTAAAGAATTATTTATAAAACCAAGACCACATGGAGGTAGATAATCTTGTAGTGATATCTAGAAAAAGAGAGAAAAAAAATGATACTTTTGTAGTACTAAAAATTTTCACGAACATCCCTACCCATCTAAGGGGTCCAATTTTTTTCCAAATCGATAACCGAACCAACGCAATGTTAAATTATACATTTGATCCTTAAATTTTAAACTTATATCTAATATTAAGTCCACAAATTTTAAAAGATGGATAATAAGTCTCAAACTTTTGATATTGTATTTAATAATTACATAAACTTTCAATATTGTGTTGTACAGGATTCTACCTTTTAAAAAATTCTAACCTGTCTTGAAGAGTGGTTGATATTTTTCTAAATCCAACATGGTCAAGTTGAGTTTAACTCAGTGGTACTTTGTTTCTTTTCACTTGAGGCCAGAGACTCAATTCTTTATCTTCGTGTTTGTTGTACTAAAAAAACATGGTTTTGACAAAATATAACTTCCCACACGTAGAGATGGATCCTATAAATTTTCAACTAAAGGGGAAATTTTTATATTTTAACTTCTTAAATATGTATAAATATTTAAATTTTGGTTAGAAAAGAAAATAAAAGGGAAGAAAAAAAAACATTTGAAATTTGAAGCTTTTTTTTTTTTATTGGAAAGGAATCTCAAAGTTTTTATACAAGTTTTTGAGGGGCACCTCCTTCACTCCAACCCTCTCCAAGCAACGTAGCTTTAAAATTACAAGAATTCTAAAAAACAATAAAAATCTTCCTTCTCATAAACATTTTCGTTTATATTTTTCTGTTTTTAAAAATTATGCCAAATTCTTCTCCACTTTTTTTTCCATGTTTTTATCACTATTATTACAAACACATTTGAATTTTTAGTAAAAAAAAAAAGATTAACCACTCTTTTTAGTCTTAAGATTTAGATTTTGGAAACATTTTAAAAAAAGCAATTAACAAAAGTAAAGAAAAAAAATGCAAGTGGAAGTAGTGTCGACAGCTAGAATTTTGAAAGCAGAAAACCAAAAGAAAAAAACATAATGGTTATTAAGTGAAACGCAATCATCATCAACAACTGAGAGTCGACCGGTCTTCCATAACAGTTGTGAACAGTAAAATAGTTTGGAGGAAAAAAAACTATCATAAATCATGGGGGCATTTTTTGATGGGAAAAAACGCAGCTTTTCTGATTTTGTTAGTTTTATGACATATAAAAACGGTCACAAAAATCGATTTTTCAATGACAGTAAAAAACTGTCACGAAATGGTTAAGACGCGATTTTGGCCGGAAAAAACGGTAATCTACGAAAATTTCCACGTTTTATGATATTTTATAATTGTCAAGAAAAACAAAAAAAAAATTCAAGTATTCCGTGACAGTTGCCTAGACCATCTTGAGAATCTATGACATATAAAAAGTGTCACAAATGATTTTGAGCGCGTTTCATTTCAGTCGAAAAAACTGCAGCTTTATGGATGATATTAATTATTTCGAGTATAGATTTATGATCAATAGTTTTTCGAAATACTTCATGAGATAAGTAGAAAATGATATTGGTATAATAGTCTGCTTACCATTCGTAATTGTGCCCTTCCTCTTCGGTCACGAGTTTGAGCCCGGTGGATTTCCATTATTTTTTCAACCCTCTATTATTATATTTTTACAAAAAATTTACTTTTTACAATAAACAATTAATTAAATTATATTTTCCATTTAAAATAAATAATATATATTTATTTCGTATTCACGCTTCCTGCATAAATTTAATTCATCATGAAAATTAAAATATGATGATAAACATAAAATGATTTAAGTTAATTCTAATTTCACCAACCATTTCGTAAATAAAATATTCATATTTAAATTATACCCTGATTTTTTTTTTTATTATTATTGGAATGAAAGGTAGTCAACTTAGCTTAGGAATTAATTTGGGTTTAAATTAGAACTAGTTATGTTGATGAGCCTTTAAATTTTTTATAACATAAAGTTTTTAATTTTAGACAAATTTTTTTAATTAAATATTAGTTTTGAAATTTTCTTTTATTAGATTCTTGCCCAAAATTTTAAGAATATTAATAAGTACTTTTTTGAAAGAAAATAAAAACAACTAATAATTTTTCTCAATAAAATGAAAAATAAAAACTTAGTAGTTATTTCTTTTTATAAAAAATATATATATATATATATATAAATGATAACGTATAGTTAGTGGTGTGGATTGAAGTCAAGACCACTAAGACTTATGGATACACCAAACATCAACAAAATAAATTGATTTTATGAAATGTTCGTATAATATTAATATGGTTCTAATCATTTTATCATTATAGGTAAATAAATTAAATCAAACCATGCCCTTTTGCGAACTTCTTTCTTCCTCGTATGTTTTCGATGTTCTTTTAAAAAAACCTAAAGTTCATCATCTTCTTCGCACTCTTTTGCATTCGTCGTCATCCTTCATATTAATTCCTTGTGCTGTCGTTCAAGATCTATTACCTAGATGACACAAATTCACATAATTGATCGCCGACACTACAAGAATTATGAGTTTTTTCCGATGCTTTTATTCTCGACGCTGGCCAAACATCTTTTTTCTGACTAAAGAATAATAGTCGGGACTTTGCCGACTATTGATTAAAATAATCAGGAAAAGAATACATTCTCGATGCTGGGTGAAGTTACTCTTATCGATGCTTTTGCCTAAATTTTTGTTTTTATATATTATCATTCCCGATGGTTTTTGAAATAGTCCAGAGATGTTTATATTCCCAACTATTTTATTATATAGTCGGACAAAATTTGTTCTTAATTTTTTTTTAAATGACCACTTCCTACTAGGTTTAGGTGGTTCCACGGAAAGAAACAAAGAGAAAGAGAAGCAATGATGAAGGTTGGGAAGACAAGAGACTAGAAAAAGTTAGGTCACAGTGAGGAACAAAGACGATAATAGGTAAGGAAAGTGAGTGGGGAAGAAGATATTGACAAAGATGATTTCACTTGAAAAACTCTATTTTCTCCTTAGAAACAAGTTGAGAAAGGTGTCTCTTCTTTTTCCTAATCTCCTATTTGTTGAAAGATTGAGTCTGATTTTGTGTTTTAGCTTTTGGATCAAATGATGTTTTCCTGTTGTCTATTTCATGGTTTCATTACTAATAGTTCATAGGGTTGAAGTATTTGAGAAGTGAGTTTGAACAATAAACAACCTAGGTACAGATACATGTTCTAAGATCATTTTTACATAAAGGAATGTGTTAGGAAGTACTCATTTTTATAGTAAGTCCCCCTTTATCAAAGCTAGGTGGAGAAGACATCAAGGTACAAATACTGTCAAAGCTGCCAAATCCCTAAAACATAGGTGGCCACTTCTTAGATTTTGTTGGAAAATTGGTTGTTCTAGATTCATTATTATTCTTTCAAAGTTTGATCCTTAGCGTATTTTGTTGGAACGGAAGAGATCTCTTATACACGGCTAAGAGAAGGTTCTCTAAGAGACTTGAAAGGGTGTGCAGTGTTTGTTGCAAAGGGAGAAAATGAGTTCATGATTCTCTATAGAATTTCGTGATATACACCCTACGGAGATTGAATTATTTTACCACCTTATGTTTATTTTTGTACTTAAAATTTCAGCTTTACTTTTGTATATGCGTGGTTTCATGTTATAGATAAGAGTTAATGATCAGGTTAGTTTGAGTTTACATATGAGATCATTTTCACATAATATATAATTTTACTTATTCATTTAGCTAACTGGATATTGTTTTCTCCCTTACTTATTGCACGAACTTAAAAAAGTTAAAAACCATGATTGAAACTGATTGATTTATGGACTTTTTCGGGTTAGTGCGTGAAACATATATATGTTAGTTAGATGTTGACATTTGACTCCCTCCAAATATATACTGTGGACTGATTTAGATATTTGTATAAGGTTGATATTTGTTGTGAGTATTTCAGATTCGTATATCTATGTAATTGTCATTCTTTTTAAATTTAAATAGTTGGATAATTGTGTGGCTATCCTACAACAAAAATAGCCAATTAAGACTTAGTGTTTATATGTGTCATGCATATAGTATGAAGTCTAGTTGGATAATTGTGTGGTTTAAAGTTTAGTTAGATAATTGTTTGGCTATCTTACAGCAAAGATAGTCAATTAAAATTTAATGTTTATATGTGTCATGCATATATATAGTATAAAGTCTAGTTGGATAATTGTGTAGTTTAAAGTTTAGTTGGATAATTATGTGGTTATAGGGGGGCTTGGATGGTGAGCAAAAACAATTGATCAAGAAGTTGGTCAACTTTCGTGCTATTGTTTATCAAACTTTTCATCGCCCAGCTCAAACTGAACGCGATGTAATCAAACTTATGGTTGACGCCGTAGAGAATATAAAGCCCATATGCGAAGTAGAAAAAGTAGGAGTAGCAGGTACTATTTATGATGTCCCTGGGATTGTAGCCAGGGATCGTCAACAAACCTTAGCTATTCGTTGGATCCTTGAAGCAGCTTTCAAACGACGTATAAGCTACAGGATAAGCTTAGAGAAATGTTCATTTGCTGAGATACTGGATGCTTACCGAAAGAGGGGAATTGCACGTAAGAAAAGGGAGAATCCTGCAGCAAAGATAGTCAATTAAGCCTTAGTGTTTATATTTGTGTCATGCATATAGTTTAAAATCTAGTTGGATAATTGTGTGGCTATCCTATGCCAAAGATAGTCAATTAAGATTTAGTATTTATATGTGTCATTTACGTAATGCATGTTGGAGTTAGAAAGAAAATGTGGGAGTTAATATTAATATTTTCTTAATTATTCATTTTATTTTGTTGAAGGGAGTAGCCTGCGGGAGCAACATTTTGAGAAAGGAAAATGTATAGGGAAGAGTTTCGGCATATTTTCGACATGTACGAGGTTGATGTAATATTAATATAGTTCGTTGGGCATTCTCTTATTGTAGTCATAGACTTATAGTATAGTATTTCTATAAAATATCCTAATGTACAAATTTGATCAGACTTTGATCTTATTATATGCAACTTTGTTACATTTTATAATTTATAGATATAGATAATTTTTTTGAAACGTGGACAGTGTTATTAAATGTATTTCATGGCTGTTATGAAGTTGTCATATATAAACTTTTATTGACATTACAAACCTTTATTAAACACAAATTGTGACAAAAAAAAAACTATCACAATTAATCAATTGTCATATATAAAGTTTTCGTGATAGTTAAAATTTTCAATATAAAGATTTTAATGACAGTTACAAATTTTCAATATAAAGATTTTCACGACAGTTAAAACTACAAATATTGACCGTTATGACTATCACTATAAAAGTTTTCATGACAATTATAAATAGTAATTGTTATGTTTTTCTTGATGTTTATCAGCAGTCGTTAAAAAACATTTCGTGACATTTATAAACTGTCGTCATTAAGTTTTTATTGACATGAGAATAAAATCTTTCATCGTTTTAGTGACAGTTATAAACTGTAATTAAATGAGTTATAACTGTAGTTGTAAACGAATTCGTGACAAATTTGTCATCTTCTCCTCTTTCTTGATGTCTTAATAGATGACAAAAAAAAAACTGTCATGAATTATGTTAATGACAGTTTTTAACTGTCACTGAAGCCCGAATTTCTACTAGTGAACAATATTTGAACCTCCGACCTTCAAAATATATCAAAACAAATCCAATGCTTTGACCAGCGTTGAACGACTATGCGTACATCGACTTTGAAACTCGAGTAGAAGTATCGTGGAGTTTGAGAAAGGGGTGAAGAGATCCCAACCTAGTTAGATTAACATAGTCTTGCATATTGTGAGCTGCTAAACCAGGGAACACAAGCCCTATAACCCTAATTCCCTTCAGCAGCCAAGTTTCTGTATATTGTCTTCCTCTTGTGTAAGGAATCAAAAAGCTTCTTACCAGCTCCCATAAGGTCACAAAAAACCCTTCAACTCCTCCAACAAATGAGTAGTAGTTCTTGTAGGGCTCTTCCTTTACTTCCTGTCATTATTATATAATTCCCGACCGGGTGAGTTCGGAGATTACGTCCTAGTTATTATGTGTACCTTAAAAAAAGACGATGTTTAAGTATTTGTACGTGTTTCGTTAAATTTGTTGGGTTGCACTGCATCTAAAAATGATTCTATAAGTATCAAAATCTGCTCTAAGAATAATTTAAAATGATTTGCAGTGAATCACTTTTAAAGTCTTTTTTTGTTTAATTTATTAACTTTGATAAGGATTAGATCTCTTGGCTCGAATATCGTCTTGATTTACATATAAGACTAGATTATATTGGAAATAATATTTTATCGTAAAGTTTTGAACTCAAAACCTATTAATTATTTTGATGCTGTGTTAAATTGACGTAACGCCTCGTTCAATAACCACTTTTATTTCTTGTTTTTGTTTCATTTTTAAAGTAAGCTTATAAATAATACAATCACTCGTATTTTTTGTTTTTGTTATAAACTATTTAATTAAAAACAATTTCAAAATCTAAACCAAAATTTGAAACCTAAAATAAAAATAAAAATTTGTTTTTGTTTTTGAAATCTGGGTTAGAGGTCAAGTGTACTATTCTCAAGAAAGGTAAAAAACATATAAAAAAAATTGTGAAGAAAAAACAAAAATATTTTTAAAAAATAAATAACTAAATCAGATAATTATTTTATTTTTGTTTTTTTTTTAATTAAGCTTCTAAACACTACTTTCACTTATGTATTTTTTTCGTTTTGCATCTACTCTTTAAAAACATTTTCAAAATCCAACCTAAATTATTAACTGAAAAAAAGAAAAAAAGTTTTCAAAAAACTTGTTTTTGTTTTCTAAATTTGGCTAAGGCTTAAAAGAGTTCAAATGTGTTTGTAGAAAAGTTAAAACATATCAAAGAAATCACAAACAAATTACAAGTCTAACTAACTTTTAAAAACGAAATGATTATCAATCAAACGGGATCTAAAAAATGAAATCGTTATCAAACGAGACTTAGACTATTATCTTTCCACAGTAGCCGCTGTTGAAGTAGAGGCAAGTTCCAAAGTGTTTGAACATGAAACTTGGGTCATCTGTGGGCATTCGAGGCACTATGTTATGACTGTACACAAATCTGAAGTATTTGCACCCATGTTTCTTCAACACTCCTTCCATAAATTGGTTGAATTTTTCATTTCCAACTCTTGGTTGCCCATAAGTGTAGATCCCATGAAGCCTTCATTATCCTCAAATTTCATCTAAATAATTAGAATGTTTCTTTCTAAACTGTGTTGTGCCCTACTTACGTCCTAATATATGCTTTAAAAAGATATGCGTACCCTCTTCGACTTTCAATTTTTGTCTAATGGGTATCTCTATTATTAGCTTAATGTTCTAAATTCCAGAATCCGTTCAAATCAGCTTGTCACTCCGTCTTTAAATAATATATGATATGTATCGGTACTCAATTTTTGTTAAATTGATGGAATTAATTAGAGCGTGAAGTTTGTTAGACACATCGTGAGAAAGTTAGATCTATAAAAAACTTTTTACAAAAACAAATAATTAGGGATAATCTTTAAAGTTTACAAGTTAGAAACTTTTTATTGCACTAGAATGAAATATAATGGTGACAGTGGAGAAAAATATTTACTATTAAATTTTTGACAAATAGGAAAATAAGATATATAAACCGAAACTTTAAAATTGTCAAAATTTATAGTAGTAGTGAACAAGAAGATGTATGCTAACTAGTCAGGCACCTAAATATCATTCTTTAAAAAGTGGTTCTCAAACTAGTTCATTAACTAACATAGGAAGGTCATACTATTCCAATGAAATAATTGATAGCAAAATTCTATTAAAAAAGGAAAACAAAATGTATACGTTTTTCAAAAACCCCTTTTGAAAATTTGACTAATATATTAAAAATATTTGTTAAAAATAAAATATATGTATAAATTTTGAAACAGATTCCTACCTGAGATCTAACAATGGTTTATAATAGACATGAACTACTGTTCTCATAGTCGATTTTTAAAGAGAACCCAGGGATGTTGATACAAATCTCTACTGTTCTCATAGTCGATTTTTAAAGAGAACCCAGGGATGTTGATACAAATCTCTATTTTTTATTATATATATGTATATATGTATAGTAGATTTGAACCTTATTTCTAAAGAAAAAGTAAATATACGAAGAAGGAAAATATTTAAATGAACCTGATTTCTATAAAAAAAGTAAATATATGAGGAAGGAAAATATTTATGGTTGAAGATCTATTTACATATTAATTACTATAAAAAAAATTGACAGTTCATTATTTTTAAAAATAAAACTATATTTCTAATTTTATCTTTCCCTAGTCGATCATTTAATAATGGTTAGAACAAACGTCAAAAAAAACAAAAACAAAAATCAAAGATAATTATCAAAATTAAACCAGACCGATGTTAAATTAAAATGCAATTAAAAAGAAAAAAAAAATGTTAGAAGTTGTAACTATTAAAACCAACCTATTCAAAAGTGAAGTTTCTCGATGCAAGGCGAGAACCGCCGGGAACAAGGCGGCAAGAGCGCCGCCCTGGCTGTGGCCGGTGACCAGAAATTTGGCGGCCCGGTTCAGCTGCAGCAGTTCTCCCAGCTTCTCTCTGGTGCAGTAGTAAGCAAGCGGCCGGTCCGGGTCGGGTTTTATTTGCTTGGGCCAGCCGGTTCTGCGCTGCAGGCCGAGGGCTTTGATAAAAACCACCGTGGATTTTATCCATCCCGGGGAAGGCGTACCATGATAGGTCCACGTTGGTGCACCACGCGTCCGTGTCAAAGGTTCTGTGCCTCTGAGCGCCACCACTATCATGTTTGGGTTCGATGTCTTGTCTTGGAAAATCAAGGCTTGAGTTGTCGCCTTCCCTTAGAAATCTATAATAAATATATATTTTTTAAATAATATCAACCCTTCCTTTCTGTTCGATCACTATTTTGTTTTTGATTTTTTAATATAAAAATTATACTTGCAATTACTAATTTCATCGGTGTAGTTTGTCTTGTCATCAACTTTTTAAAATGCGTTTTCGAAATCTATTAATTTTTGAAGAAAATTAGTCTTTAAAAATCTGGTTAAAAATTCAAATGTATTTCAAAAAGAAAATGAAAAAATTATACAAATCATAAGAAAACAAACATAATTTTCTAAAACATAAAACTAAAAATGAAATCTCTATGAACGGAGTCTTCGTTTTTAGTTCTTTTTTTTTCTTAAAATTATACTTGTTTTTGGTAAATTTTTCACCTCTATTTAAAATATATTTGAATTCTTAATTAAATTTCAAAAAATAAAAGTAATTTTTTGATTTCTCAAAATTTGGTAGATTTTGAAAATGTTTTAAAAGCATGTAACAAGTGAAAATAAAATTTCTAAGCTTAATTTTTAAAAATAGAAAACAAAAAATGAAATGATTATGTGTAAGTTTCATTCATATTTCAATATTTTAAATGTTTTTGTTACGTTAGAGTGTTTGAGGATGATTCATGATTGTAAGATAGAATTCTATGGAAAAATTCATAAAATTCAATCTTGATCATTGTCAAATGGATACATTAAATTAGTTAAGCTTTTGAGACGTTTTTTTTTCTTTCTTAAGTTTAAACACTATTCTAGTCCAACTAATTTAAAAACGTTTATTTTAATTTATATACTTTTAGATTTTATTTATTTAGATTCATGTACTCTTAAATGTTTTGGTATCTATTTGTAAAATCTATAACATAAATAAATTTGGTATACAATGAAAACCATATCTAAATATTTCTATAAATATATATTGAATATAGGGTTGTATTAAAATTGCAATAAAAATGAGATAAAATTAAGGTTAAGAATTTAGAAGTTTAAGATTAAACAAAAATGAATTTTCTCAAAAAAAAAAAAAATATATATATATATATATCATTTAGTTTAGTGATTATATTTTAATCATAAACTTCCATCAAATTGAACTCCAAATTTAAACGAAATAAATACCCCAATAAAACTAAATTATAAATTCTTTGTTTATTATTTATTTCTTACCATTCCAAAAATCGTAGAATCCAACCAATTCCATCTGCATCAAAAGAAGAACACATTATTGTAGTGGTACAATTGCTGAGTTAGGGAAATATTTGAAGTGTTTTTTAGTACAATTTATGGGGTGTGGATCGAATTCATAACTTTTTTATTGGAGATATATGTCAATTATCGTTGAACAGAGCTATTGCTTACTTTGGCAAAATATTTAAAGTATTTATCTTACTTCTCAACAAAATAAAATTAAATGAAGATAGTTTTAAGTCGTCTCTAAACCTTCTTTAATAACCCTATTTCATTTTTAATTTTATTTTTAAAAAAAATCATGTTTGTTTCATTTAATTAAATTCTTACCCAAATTTCAAAAAAAAAATTGAAAACTACATTATTTTTTTTTCATTTTCAACATGGCTTAAATTTGAAAAACATTTCTAAAAATTGATTGCAAAACAAAGTGAAAATAGTGTTTATAGTTTGATTTTTAAAATTTGAAAACAATAATAAGCTAGTTATCATACTGGGTTTAGAATTTTATCTAGCTATTTTAAATTTTAAACCCTAAAACTTTTTTTTTTTTGGATTTTTTGTGGTCATAAACCTTTTAACAACTTTTTATTTAATTTGTTTTTTCAATAACCTTTAAAATCTCAATTCTAATATTCTTTCATCTTTCAATTATGTTTCTTATCAAAGTGATAACTTAGTCCATGTGTACATGCATACATAATAATAAGATCATATTGTGTGAATTGACATTGAAAAACATAATTTTTGAACTCATTCTTTAATTAATGATAATTAAAATATAAATTAGCTTCTTAATATTCTTTCAATATTATATGTTTACAAATCACTAATAAATCTACAATGGTGGATGGAATGTTGAAATGACACTCTATTAAGATAAATTTAGAATGACATGTGTGATGTAATAATTAAGAAATTCTATGTAAGAATAGTCATATTTAATATATATATTTTCAATTTTATGCGATATATTATAAAGATATTTTTAAAGTTAAGAAACTCAGAGCTGATTTGATTGGTTTCTTATTTTTCATTTTTATCTTTTAGAAACACATGGATTTAGTATTTTTATATGTTTTTGTAGAAACTTTGAAAATAACGAAATGAATTTATTGTTTCTTGTTCCTATTTCTAGTTTTTTTTCCTTCAAAAATACAATTAGAATGCTTAATATAAAAAAATAATTTTAGTATAAAACTTTAACATTTTGATTAACAATTTCATTTGATTGTCATCAAACATGTTTATGTTTTTTTCCAACGAAAAAAAGAAAGAACAATCAAACCTGATCAAAGAGTTTACCAATGCAGATATGTTTTCTTGATTAAAAAAGAGGAAACGAGAAACAAAAATTATAAAATGAGAAATAAAAAACAAGAAACAGAAACGTTTTTCAAATGTGCATTAAATAGATAGATCATATGACGACGTTGTGGACGAAATTTAGAAGTTAAACCTTTTAAGTAAATTTTTATTACCTTCCAAAGATGTTGGACAGTGGATTTAACAAAAGTATGATTCTCATAGGAAATCTTTGAGGCCATGACAGAGAGAGCAAACAAATATCTGCAATCTCCAGGCTTTATGCTTCTCTCAAGTTCCACTCTTGAATCAACATGTCCAATGAATGACATGTACTTCTCACATTCTTGTTTTGGGATTTCCATATTTCCTTCAAACAAATAATAAAAACCCTAATGAAACTTTTGAACTTTCAAAATCATATGCATTAATTACAATCAAGATCTTCTCTTCCTAGTTTTTCTCCCAAAAATAATGTGTTTTTTCTAGTCATTTGGGTTTTGGATATTTTGTTGTTGAGTTTGAGCACTTTTTTAATCCCGTTTGATTGATTTTAATTTGGAGCTAGCTAGATTCATATATGTGTGACTTGATTTTGAGTGATTTGTTTGTGGTTTTATTAGTTAATCGCTGTTTCGAGAGAAGTTATTAATTTTAGTATTTTGTTAGTACAATACGTGGGGTGGAGTCATGACTTCTTGTGGTAGATAGATTGCTTAACTAATTGAGTTATGTTGACATTTTACTATTTTTATTGAAGTTATATTAAAAATTACCTAGGTTAAATCCTTATGATTTAATAGTTTCATTTATAGTTCCTTAGTTTGTCTCTTGTTTGATCACTTTCTGGCCTTTTTGCTTTGGGCAATTTCATCTCATCCATTTCTTTGTTCATCAGTTTGGTATAGTTTTGTTGGACTGATCTCTCTTTATTACCACGAGCAACATGTTTGTTCTTTTAAAAAAGTTCATTCTTATAATAGAATATAAAAGGGTTCAATATATGTTTTGTTGTTCCATGTTCGGGTGTTTTTTCGGTTTGGTCCTTTATTGTTCGACGAGTTTCAATTTAGTCTCTTGTGTTTTAATATATCTTTTCAACTATAAAACATAATTAGACATTTCATGTGGGGAGGAGGATCAAACTCAGAACTTTATGATTGGAAATATATGTCAATTACCATTGAACTATGATTGTTTTGGCTAACAAAATTTTAAGTTAACGAATAACCATTTCACTCTTTTATTAAATGAGTTAAAATTATTATTATTATTTTTATTTGAAAATGAACTTCATTCAAAAGACTAGTTAATAGCCACATGGGCTACACAAGATGATAAATCCAGATTCAGCCTCTTTGCAAGCCGAAGGGGAAAAATCAGAGATATCATTTTCATAGAAAGTGATTTGATTCTCTATGAACATGCTTGAAAGCTGTGTCAACCTCATTGTGCTAGGCGTCACATCATTGATCGCATTAATCGCATCGCCTCCAAAGAATCTGATTCAATCATAACCTTTTCCAAATTCAGTCTCTCAGCAAAACGAATCCCTTCATGAATGGTACCACTTGTGATATGATTTTATCATTAACAGAAAAAAAATATGATCGTCAAAATTCTACCAACTCCTTATAAATTTGGAGGAGTCATTAAAAAAATAGTCATAAAATATTTATTTTTTTGATATCCGTGAAGATTCGAGCCAACTTATGCACAATTAATTCTTAAAGTAGATGGCCATCATGTGACTTAAACTCATTTCCTCCCACTTTATCCTAACTCGTTTGGACCAATGGGTCATCCATGAAGGTTAATGATGAATTTATTTTGTTAAACAATATTGTTTTGAGATAATGTTATTTAATTTTTTTTACAATGATATAAATAATAAATAAGTGTAAAAAATATGAAACACGTCGATTATTGATTAGTAGGATAAATTGCACAAGTATAATGGGTTAGAACTATTGCATTCTCAAACTTTCAATTGAAAAAAATTAAACGCTTTGAACTCGAACTTACTTTTTGATATTCGTGTGTCCGGACCAGCTTGCGCGTACCTCGACTATTCACGGGGCAAACAGATTGAGAATAAATTGCAAAGTATAGATTTGACAAAGTGAATATAGATTTGACACTTGTTAGACACGTATTGAACACTTGTTAAGCATAAAAAATAGACATAAATAGTAATACATGACAAAATAATAAATATTCAGAGAAATGCATCAAACTCATTTTGAGTTTTAGCATAAAAATGTATGAGCTCATTGGCTTTGAATTTTCCTCCCGTATAAAAATGATATATACTTAAAAAAATGTATACATTAACAAACGTGTCCTTGCCATGTCCGTGTCCTAAATTTTCAGAAAATGATGTGTCATCGTGTCCTTGTATCGTATCCGTGTCTCGTGTCCATATTTGTGCTTCTTAGGTTTTTAGTAATGTCCGAGCATTCGCAACCTACAAGCACACAAATAAAATCGACACGGTTCGCACAAATCATGAACCTGTTGGTCACAAAAGTCCTTAATAGAGGACACACCACAACAACAGACAATATCCCCCCACCACAATAGATTCAAAATCTAAGCCAAATACATGAACTTTGATACACCATCAAACAAGAAGCCATTTGACATAAGTGATAACATGGAAGGTTTCAAGGTCTACAAGTTGGATAAACAATCATTTCACCAATTCCATAGCATCTCAGATCACAAATAACAATATAAATTCCAAGCAGCCGTTACCAGTTCTTCAACTTCGTCCTTAAATGCATTTCCTTCTCCTGCAGCAGTAGAATCAACCTACCAAAGTTGTTTGGCAGTCTTCATAAGGAGTCTGAGTGTTCGGTTAAGAAGATTTCCTGCAAGCGAATGTCAAGAATTATGTTGTCAAACAGAAATCTCAAGTAAGAGTGGCTGTTGTTTTCCTTTTCCATTCAAAAGGAACCAGCACTATGGTTTATCAATACCTAATGTATTTGCTAGATGTGCGTTGACAATATTGATGAAACGATCCTTGGCATAGTCTCCATCGCTACCAAATTCCATCTTCCCAAGGAAGAAGTATCTCACTGCATCAGAGCCAAACTTTTGAACCAATTCATTTGGTTCAAGGGTATTGCCTAATGACTTGCCCATCCTCGTTCCATCCTATAAAGTTCAAACAAAAAGAGTTGATGCATGAACCAAAATTAGTTATGAGAGGTTTCGAAACTTGACCAACAATTGTTTGTATTGACAAAAGAAGGCCAGGACTACAAGAACTCCAGAAATAAATGTTTACAAACAAGATCACGATGATGTCAAATTCATATATCTAATGTGGATTCTGAATCTAAGTTCTAGTAATAAAATATTCAGTTGTTATTACTCACTCTTTACCACTCGAACCATGAACCAGAAAGAAGTTAGGGAGAGATCACAGGGATTCAATTTATAGGAAATATCACACTTTCTCTACAGGAGAGCTGGAAAACTAAGGACCGGTAATCATTTTGGTTTTCGTTTTGGCTTTTCAGTTTTGAAAATTAAGTTTATTAACATTACTTCCACCTATGCATTTCTTTGTTTTGTTATCTTTTTCTAAAAACGTTTTGTTTCCAAAATCACGTTTGAAACTAAAAATAGTAATTTTTAAAAACTTTTTTTTGTTTTTGAAATTTAACCGAGTCAAATGTTATTCTTTAGAAAGGTGAAAAACATATTGATAAAACCAGCATAATTTTCAAAAATTAAAAACCAAAACAAAATAGTTATCAAACGGCCCTAAGAAATATGAAAAGAATGGTTCCACTACTTAGACACCAGAAGCTTGAGAAACTAGAAACTCAAAAATTCGCACATAACTGGACGTCTTCAAGCTTCTCTTTAAAATAAATACTCGGCTTTGCCCATAACTGACATCGCTAGTAACCAAAATACATCAAATACATTAAGAGCTTGAACCATAAAATCTTTGCAACAGCATTGATAAGAAGCATATTATAATAGCTTAATTCTCGAATTAGAATAAATTCACCAAAAAGTAGACAATAATGAAGTTTTCTCCATTATTACAAAATATAACAAGTTATAAATCTACCTATTGCTCACTATTCCAACAAAAATAACCAATTCTACACAATGCAAGAATTCATGAATCCTGGCAGCATCCAAATGGTTGGAAATATTTGATTATGAGGGACATTGAATATTGACCAACTCCAAGAGATAAGATTCACAAGACAACGAAGACCCTTGAATTCACAAGGTGCAACAATATTCATATTATATATAAAGGCAATGGAGACTGGTTACACCTTTATAGACTTCCTAAATAGTAAATATTAACTTTCTTCTGCTTCACCCATTACCATCGCCAACTAAATTCCTTTGTCTAATAGAAACTTTAGGAACCCAAACACACCATTGTCAGAAACCCGTGATCGAAAACCATCTTTGGAAGTTTTAGTTCAGCAGACATTAGCATAGCAGGCCAATAAACTGCATGGAAACGTAAAATATCCTACAAACAGAACAGTAAAAACAATAAATCTGCATCCTACAGACTGAGGAGCTTGAATTCAGTATGGGAAAAAGGGAAAGTCTCATAACCTCCGGAATTCAAAATAACACAGAAATGGGAGCTCATGAATAATTTCAATTCTTGTTATATTAAAAAAAAAATGTAGCAAAGACCAAATTCTAAAAATCAGGTGGAGAAAAAGAAAATATTTTCCAGCCGGGGCTAGATGAAATATGTACAATCGGGAAAATTGCCCTAAAATATCATTGAAAAACACCAATTAAGTGTAAAGAGGCAGGCCAACCTGAAGCGGAAGCCCTTTGTAAATTTGGTTGCTTACAGTTCTCTGATACCGCTGATATATAACTACATTATGGAATTTTCATATGACTAAGATTGAAGGCACTGACTATACTTTCCATTTCGGTTTCCTAAACAAAACGGTGGAGAATTGTTGCAAGTTCACATATACCATATGTTTGTAGTAATGAAGAATTCTTTAAAAACAAAAATGAAAATGAAAAGATAAGAGAGAGATTACCCCTAACAATGCATCAAACCAAACATAAATTATTTGCTTTTGATCATTGGGAACTGGAATACCCCATTCAACCGAAGCCCTGGAGATAGAGAAGTCTTCTAGGCCACTTCTAATCCAACTTTTCACCTTGGCAGATATGGTGCTGAATAAATCAAAGAATGGTTCACGATCGGCAAGAAGGAAAAAATTGTAACAGACAATAGAACTGACATTCTGTTGTCAGAAAAATGATTAAATAAAATACAATATCAAAAAATATCAAAGAGATATGATGAACCATTACAAGACTTTCACGTTTACTTTAGGTCATAGGTAATGGTAGACCTTGAATAATATAATTTATGATATATGTGCATGGAGTTTTGTATTAACGCTCTTACAAGTCATTCTACAATGGAGATGCTGGCTGGAGAGAAATCAAGACTTTTTGAGGAGAGGGAAGCTAAGTTTGCCTCTCTTTTTAGCAACGTTCAATTTTATACTAAAAGCAAACTCTTTTGTAATTACCCTTTTCACAGTGATCCTTCATAATTGGAAGGCATTCATGTAATTAGCTCTCTTGGGAGGGGGTTCTCTCTTCCCCTGTCCCTAGTCTATTATTTCGTAGTTGTCTCATGTCTCATGTAATTAGTCAAGGTGTGCATAATCAAGTTTAGACATTCACGATATATATATGTGTGTGATGATGTGTGTTTGTGTGTGCTTATACTTCTGTTTATAAATTTCACAGACAAATTTCACAGACAAACACAAATAGAAGGTGGCTGCACACACAAAAGAGCAGTAGTAAATTTCAAACAAGTAGAATAATCCCATATAGTCACCTCATTTTAACGGAAGGTGGGCTGCACAAAACCTGAATTCTGTGTTAAAGTTTCTTCAAGCAATCTTCGATATTTTGACAATGCAAAAAAGTAATTGTCTTATTTCCTTAAAGCACAGGGATTTAGGTGTATAGGACAACAATTGTTGGCAAGAATTTCTTTCTCATCCTGCAGGTTGACAAATGTTCTTATAATAATCAAGAGAATTAATATCGAAAATTGAAGAACTAAGGACTGTAAAATGCATCCATACCCCAGGAAAAATAGCTACTGGAAAACACATATGGTTTGGTACTTCATCAAACTAATAATTTAGTCCCTAAATTTTGTTGAACTTAGTCCATATAGTTTAAATTTATAACAATTTAGTCCATTAACTTTAGTATGTAACAACTAATACTTGCATATGAAGATTTTTGTCAACGTTGTAATAGAGAAGTTTCTCAAAATTGATACTTCGTATAAACCATCTAGGGGCCAAATGTGCATTTAAACTATATGATTGTACATGCTATAGATTAATACTTCACCTTGTCCAAAATTTTCATTATAAGGACTGCGTTACAAATTTAAAACTATAGAAATTAGTTGACTAAATCGTCATAAATTTTAAACTAAAATGTTACATACTGTTCAGGTACTGCACGGGCAGACCAAATATGTTTCTTAACCCAAAATTGTTCAAAGCCAGCATTATACAGACGCCCCCACCAGTTTCCAAAGTGAAAAAAACACCAATAAGAAGAGCTGTAAAAGCAAAAAATCAAACGAACAACGTAACAGAACTACAAATATGAAGATTTTCGATTGAGAAAAAAGGGGCACCTGAAATGGGGCGATGGTGGTGTAAGCGCTCCCCATGTGAGGGGAAGCATTGACATAGTAAAGTGGGGTCGTGATAACAAATGGGTCTGTTGCGGCTTCGCTGCCATGGGAATTGGAAATGGAATCGGTTGCAGAGGTACAGAATACAGCTCGTTTTGACGAAGAAGGGGACAAGAAGAGATTTCGACAGAAATGGAGGCGGTTCCGAGATGGGTGGGTTTCGAATTTCGAATCCTGCAAAGGGTTTAAGAGCCGGAAACAGAGTGAAATGTTTGTTCTAGCGCCCATTTCCATCATTCCATGGCTTTCTTTCTCTGCGCGTAGGCCAATCAAGAAGAAGGGTTTATTCTACCGGAACTTCTATGGAGGTCGCTCATTCCATTGGTTTTTTAACCCAATCGAATCGAACCGTTCTTTCGATCTACATCGACCGAACCGAACGGTTTTTCTTCAAGATGAAAACTCACTTACATAGTTTATTTCTCGTAGAAAAATTTCTTAAAACACCTAATAAAAAAACATAATATTTCATTTTAGTCTAATTATTCATATAAAATGTAAACATACCAGGTCTACAACATCTTAATAGAAAATTCGAACAAGGTAGGTCAGGGATGGCGATCATATTTCCATCCTCATCTCTGTTTAGGTGGTGGAGAAAAACAAATTTTYCGTCCCCGTCTTATTCGAGACGGGTCTCCATAGGAGAATTGGACACCTCTAGGCGAGGCGATAACCAACTCCATATTAGGGTTTTTTTTTTCTTTCTTTCTTTTTTATTTTGATTTTTCTAATTTAGGGTAAAAGTAAAACAGAGGGTTCCAAAATATTTTCAAAATTGTCCTTAAGAGCGAGTTAGGCTGGATATATCTAGGTAGAATTTTATTGGGAAAAAGAAAAAAACAGAGTTCTTATTTATTTATTTATTGAGTCTATTAGTAGAATAAAATAGTGTATTTGAAAATGAGCCAATTACATAATGACAAAATTAAAATAAGTACTTTTAAATATAGCGGCAAGTTTAAAATTTTACACAAATGACATCATTTTATTTTAATTCAAGCCAAAAAAATGCTTATCACTTGAAAATAAACCAAGTCAAATTTGTAACATTTTTAAAAAAATTAGAAGTATTAACAAATTTTGAAATTCATACCATATTTTTGTTACTCTCTCATTTTTAAATATGCCATAACCTTTGAATTCTTTTAGAAATAGATGGTATTTGAGTGCCAAAACGAATATAACTCTCCTTTAAAAAAAATATTCTAATTTAGTAACGTTTAGTGGAGTTTTTTTTGTTTTTACAATTCTAGTTATCCTGTTTTTGCGATTAAAATTTTTTACAATATTGTTATTGTTTTTAAGCATGAAAGAGCTTCAACCTACATAAATTCAAACTAAATACTAACTTAAGTTTTAAAGTGCATGTGGCCCACCAACACACTGGTATAAAATTGTATCTGTAGGTTGCCAATGAAGCCCACGTTAAAACTCACGTTGAATCATTTGTTGACATGTCAGCAGGCTAGAATCGCGTCTCTCGACATCCATAACACAAAATTAACACCTTGATATATATATATAGGATGAAATTACAAAACAAACCTTGAACGTTTCGGCCTAAATGTAGCTTTTTTAATTGAATATTATATTGCGAAGATGGGCATATGATTAAATTATGAAGATATTAAAATGATTTTGTTACATATATTGATGTTATTGGTAAGTTGGGGAGTAGGAGGCAGAGTCCATTGGTGTTGTCTTAATAGTGTAACAATTTCAGTACATCTCCCCTTGCATAAGGGACAACCAACAACAAAATAAAAATTAAATAAAAAAATATATAATCCAAGGATATAAGATCTCGGCCGTCCACGTGTCCCACAGGAATGGGCATATCTGACAAAGTTGTATCCCCAATCAACCAATCACCGACCGAAATTCTATTGGCTGTCATGAAAAACCCTGCGTTTCTAATTCTCCCATGTTAAACTTATTTATTTAATCTATACATAATTAATAATTTTAGGTCAATTATTTACTTATTTTAAATCCTTGTACCACAATAAATAGTTAGCCTCTACCGTTAGTTGAGATAATAAATTAGATAGAAATTTATTCTATTTTATAATGAAATCACATTGACTAATAATAGGTGTATAATTTTTTATTGGTAGTAAAAATAAATAAATTAAAGGGAAAGTAAAATTGCAAAACAATTAATTTAAAAGTTATGCATTTCGATAGTAGATGAGTGAAAAAATGGTAAAAATGGTAAAATAATTATTGAAAAGTGTGGGCCCAAAAAATAAGGAATGAGAATAATTAAGATCGATCCATATGAGGTTGTAAGGAAATTAGAATGAAATTTAACTTTTTAGGGAAGATGGTTATTCTTAAGTTCAGGTCAGGTCATACTAATTGATTTCATTCCTATAATTTAATTAGTAAGCACCAACAAAAGGATACAATAATCGAAAGTACATAGACCTCTCTTTATTTATATATATATATATATATAGTTGAACAAAGGTAGAGTGTGGGAGATCGAACTTTTAATTATCTTTAAAAGATTTTTTACCTTAAAAGATAATATTTATCTAGTATAGAGGTTTTAAAAATTTAGATTTTAATCTACATTTTATTTATATATATATAGTGACTATTCTGGCCTAGTCGTTTGTCTAGACAACATGTTACAGTCCTTGAGTGTTGCACATGTTATTCACGTAAAATGACGCCAAGTAGATGCGTGGCTCAAAACTATAAATGTTCGTGTTTGAGTATTAACTCTCTAGATAAGTTTAGTCAATTTGAATGTAGGTAAGTTTAATCTCCATGGTAAAAAAATTAGCTAGGTTTCTACTTTGTCAACAGTGGTTATTGTCCGTGTTCTTACTTCAAACTCATACCAAATTTTATTTCCTATGTGGGATTTTCTCTGCAAAGTTAAAATGGGAAATATAAAGTTAAAATGGGGAAAAATGTGAAAAATCATAGCTGAATTACACAAGAATGATGCAATGTAATAGTTCTCTGAAACTTTCAATTAAAAGAATATTATCCTTCAAATTTATAAAATTGTTGCAATCAAATCCTACCATTATAATGGTTAGGTGATAAAAAAACGATGTGACACGTGGACGAATAAGAAAACTTGACCATAAACTAAAGTATGAAGTCTCGAATCCATTTTTCGAAGAGCAATTATCGACCATAAGAGATAGTTCAACCATTAAGATCAGATAGCTCGATCGTAAGAGGTACCTCGGTTAGAAGGGATACCTTGGCCATAAGGGAACCTCGGCCATAAGAGATACCACGACCATAAACTACCTTGATCTTAAGAGATAGCTCGGCCATGGATTATCTCGTCCTTGATTCATAGCTCGACCATGGTTACCTCAGTCATTGATTCATAGCTTGGCCACGGGTTGCCTCGTCCTTGATTCATAGCTCGACCATGGGTTACCTCATCCTTGATTTATAGCTTGGCCATTGGAGCACCTCGTCCTTGATTCATAGCTCTGCCATAGAGTACCTCAGCCAAAAGGATATAGCTCGACTAACAAGGATGAGTTATATCACAAAATTAATCACTCGACTGTCTTTCTGACAACACGTCATGATTTATGGTATAGTTGTCACCACACTCCTCAACTACTGTCGGAAGCTCAATACCTATAAATAGAGTCGTTCGCCTCACTTTTCAGGTACACGAAACTATATTCTCTCTCGTGTATAGATCAGATAATAAGTACTGACTAGATCAGCATTGGAGTGTTCACTTTGTTTTGCAGGTCCTTCGAACATCGATATTCAGAATCCGAAGTTTGTGAAGATCATTTTCTTCATCAAACAATATATAAAGTTCATTAAATTTGCAACTTGAAGGGTTTGTTACAATTAAAGTACTACAAATTCTAAAACCCTAAACTACCCTAAAACTATGAAGTAGTTATACAATTTATATCCTCAAATTTGTAAAGTTGGTGGCAATTAAACTTATTCACTAACAAAGTTATATAAAGGTAAGATTTAATTGTAACAATTTGTAACTTAATGGATTAATTAAATTGAAAGTTGAGAGTTTGTACAAACTTCTAGTAACTTCCATAATACTTCCTGGCTAATTTTTTCAAAATTTCCCAATAAAGTAGTTGACTTGCTCATTGATCTATAAAATCCATGACCTTACCCACTTTATTTGTTTGGACTTGTAATAAACGATTTTTCCAACCTAAAATAGGTTGAACTTCTGACCTGTGAGGAAATAAGTAATGTATATTCTGACTAGTTAAACTATGTCCATATCAATTTGACCTAAAATAACAAAATGAACCCATAAAAAATATATCTACTGCACTAACTATTAATTAACCTCCAAAAAGAAACACACATCATCCTCCCTACAACATTAAATGACAAAATAAAAACTCGATTGTAAAATAAAAAAGGCCATAAACTCTCTAATATTATAGACGAAAATTAAGTAATACATTTAGCTATTTTCTTAAATGAAAATGATTGTGAGGGAAAAGATTAAATATAAGTTATATTATTGTATAATATATAGTTATGAATAAGATGGGAAGATGAAGAAAAAAAAGGGGAAGAAATTAAAATGGGGCAATAACTTTATTCTATGCATGCATGTAGATATGATATGATATGATATAAATTTATATATTAATAGAAAGAGAGACTTATCCTACAAAAAGGGAAAGGGGGCAATAGATAGGATGGGGAAATGGGAAACCTTTGAAATAATGTGTCAGACTAAACAAAACCCTACATTACATTATACAATACATTGCACTTTGGAGTAGTAAAAGAGAGAACATATAATAAATAATAATAATAACAATGCCCTTTTCCCATTATTTTATTTGCAATATTCAATGTACTTGAAATATATATAATGGGTTTAAATACTATTTTCGTTCGGAAACATTTGATTGTGGATGTTGATTTTGGATTTTTATACACCTTTCAATTTTTATTTATTTATTTTAGTTTGTGTACTTTTGAAACGTACGTTTTGATTATTGTACTTTATAAAAGTGACTATTCTGATCTATTCATTTTCGTTTTTATCTAATTTATTTCAATCAAAATTTTGGCATGACATTTCACTCATTAGATTTATTGAAATGTAACCATAAATTTTTGTTAAGAGATTTTCATTGTGTGTGAAATTTGTGTTAAAGTTTTATAAATAAGGACCAAAATAGTTGCGTTTTTCAAAAGTACAAGGACAAAAACAAACGGTTTTACATAGATTAAAATGGATATTTTAGAAATACAGGATCTCCACTATTCTTTTAAGGAAAAAAGAAAGAAGAAAAAAGCT